AGTCTGTCAAACATTCAAAGCTTCCCAGAACAGGGCTGCCTTCAGATGTCTTCTAAATGTCAGGTAGCTGTTTATCTCTCTGACATCTGGTGGGAGGGGGTTCCACAGGGCAGGCACCACTACCCTGTAACTTGGCTTCTCGTAGGGAGGGAACCGCCAAAAGGCCCTCAGCGCTGGACCTCAGTGTCCAGGCAGAATGATGGGGGTGGAGGCGCTCCTTCAGGTATACTGGGCCTTTGAGGCCGTTTAGGGCTTTAAAGGTCAGCACCAACACTTTGAATTGTGCCCGGAAACATACTGAGAGCCAATGTAGGTCTTGGGGGCCACTCCCAGTCACCAGTCTAGCTGCCGCATTCTGGATTAGTTGTAGTTTCCGGGTCACCTTCAAAGGTAGCCCCACCTAGAGCGCATTGCAGTAGTCCAAGCGGGAGATAACCAGAGCATGCACCCCTCTGGCGAGGCAATCCGCAGGCAGATAGGGTCTCAGCCTGCGTACTAGATGAAGCTGGTCAACAGCTGCCCTGGACACAGAATTGACCTGCGCCTCCATGGACACCATGAACTGAAAGGTCCCGGGGGCGTTACCCTGAGCCTCAGCCACAAGGAATGTGCAGCAGCAGAAAATGGTAACGCTGTTCTAGATTGCATCTATGGAAGTCCAGGGTCCTGATGAAACAAAGTCCAAGTCCTACTCTCTCCTACCTTGGTCAGGCCACACCTGGAGTCCTGTGTCCAGTTCTGGGCACCATCATTGAAGAAGGATGTTGACAAGCTGGAATGTGTGCAGAGGAGGGCAACCAAGACAACCAAGGGTCTGGAAACTAAGATTGAAGAGAAACACTTGAAGGAGCTGGGTAGGTTTGGCCTGGAAAAGAGGAAACTGAGAGGAGATCTGACAGCCATCTTCAAATATCTTAAGGGCTGTCACATGGAAGAGGGAACAAGCTTCTTTTCTCCTGCTCTAGATGGTAGGACTCGAACCCATGGATTCAAGTTATAAGGAAGGAGATTCCAACTAAACATTCATAAAAACTTTCTGACAGTAAGGGCTGTTTGGCATTGGAACAGATTCCCATGAGAGGTGGTGGACTCTCCTTCCTTGGAGGTTACTAAGCAGAGGTTGGATGGCCGTCTGCGATGGATGCTTTTGCTGAGATTGCTGCATCACAGGGGGTTGGACTAGATGACCCTTGGTGTCCCTTCCAGCTATAAGTTTCTATGATTCTATGAAATTGATCTGGATTAATGACAGCCATCCACCAGTTCCATATGCAAAACTGCTTCCCACCCCACCCCCTTACTGATTAATATATATAAAAAATACATTAAAGTAGACAAATAATAACTTACAAAAAGGATCAATAAACGTGTCACCTTTATTATATAAACGGTTATCATAATCACATGTCAAAATTTCTTTTGTGAATGAAATAAAATGGTTTCAATCAGTTTTTAATAACCAACAATCAAATGTAGTGCTTGGGGTACAGCTTAGATCAATTCCCCCGATGTTCAGTGTCCAGGGGTTCAGTGCCTGGCACCCAGAACCTCATGGCAAAGGGGAGTCTGGCACCAAGTAACTCATAACATTTCACTTCCTTGCAAGCTAAGGAAAGCTGTTGATTGGCAGAAGACACTGGGCAGAAACAGAAAGAAACAGGTGGATGAGGGGGTCTAAGGGTGTCCTGCTCCTGTCCATCCTAATACTGGACAGATTATTACAGGATGTTGAGAAGGGTCATTTTTTTACTATTAATTGAGAAACAGCAGCCATAGTCTAGGCCAGGAGTGTTTTTCCCTGGTGACACCGCCATGTTGAAAAGTGTGTGTTTGCAAGGTGTTTCCTGTCCTGTCCAGAAATGCACCGTGCTGGATGAAGCCAGCTCTAGATCCTTCCTAAATAAATAAAATAAAAACCCACGGGAAGATATATTTGAAAAATTAATGTTAAGGGGAACAATTCACATTGTTAAGCAAGGTAGCTAAAGCAACAGGGTCAGGGCCTCCATTGTGACACGTCCCCCTGCGGAGTGACTTGGCTGAGGACTTTGGGAAGAGCAACTATTTGAGGATAGTTCAGGAGAAAGGAGGTGGTTTGTGAGAAGTAATGATGTTTTCCAGCAAAATAAAGATTTCTTCTTCTTGAGTGTAAGTAGGATGTCTAATTCTTTCTGCATTCTGCTTCTTTTGCTCTCCCTCAAGATTTAGAAACATAGGGCAGTAAGGCAGATCTGGAAAAAGCCTAGGTAAAGGTACAGGTACCCCTGACCGTTAGGTCCAGTCGCGGACGACTCTAGGGTTGCGCGCTCATCTCGCTCTATAGGCTGAGGGAGCTGGCGTACAGCTTCCGGGTCATGTGGCCAGGATGACGAAGCCGCTTCTGGCAAAAGCAGAGCAGTGCACGGAAAGGCTGTTTACCTTCCCGACAGAACGGCACCTACTGTATTTTTCGCTCTATAGGACGTACCGGAACATAAGATGCACCGGATCATAGGAGGGGGAGAACAGGGGAAAAAAAAATTCTCTCCCTCTCTGCTCAGTGTCCCTTCAGCGAAGCGGCAGGAGAAACGGAGCCCCTTCCATTTCTCCTCCCGCTTCGCTGAAGGGGCGCTGCGCAGAGAGGGAAAACTGTGCAGTGCCTCTCCAGCGAAGCGTAGCCTGGAGAGCGAGAGGGATCGGTGTGCACCAACCCCTCTCGCTCTCCAGGCTTCAGGCGGCTATCCGCAAGCCTTCTGAGTGCAGCGGGAACTCCTGCTGCGCTTGGAATGCTTGCGGATAGCTGCCTGAAGCCCCCAGAGCGCAGCCTTTGAAGCCTCCACAGAGCAGCAGGGTGAAGGCACCCCGCTGCCCTGCGGAGGCTTTGTGCAGCCATCCCCAAGCTAGAACAGTGAGACGGAGCGCCACGCAGTGCTCCGCCTCACTGTTCTGGCTTCGGGGACGGCATTTGACGCCTCCGCAGGGCGGCAGGGTGCCTTCACCCCGCTGGCCTGCGGAGGCTTTGCGCAGCTAACCCCAAGCTAGAACAGCGAGACGGAGCGATGCGCAGCGCTCCTTCTCCCTGCTCTGGCTTTGGGCTTAGCTGCGCAGCCTGCATTCACTCCATAGGACGCACACACATTTCCCCTTAATTGATTTTTTTAAAAATAAAATAATTTTTATTAGCAAACCAATCAAATCACATTAGTTCCAAATTACAAAACCGAATTTTAAATTTTGGTTGGGGGTACCCATGCTTCGAGCTCAGAAAGGGATCCAATCATCTCTTATTTCTGCTGCTTTGATCATTTCCCCTTAATTTTTGGAGGGGGAAAAGTGCGTCCTATAGAGTGAAAAATACGGTATTTATCTACTTCCACTTTCGAACTGCTAGGTGACTTCAGGCGGCTATCCGCAAGCCTTCGAAGTACAGCGGGAACTCTTGCTGCGCTCCGAAAGCTTGCGGATAGCTGCCTGAAGCCAACGGAGTGCAGCCTTTGAAGCCTCTGCAGAGCAGCGGGGTGAAGGCACCCCGCTGTCCTGCGGAGGCTTTGTGCAGCCATCCCCATGCTAGAACAGTGAGACGGAGCGCTGCGCAGCGCTCCGCCTCACTGTTCTGGCTTCGGGGACGGCCTTTGAAGCCTTCGCAGGGCAGCAGGGGGCCTTCACCCTGCTGCCCTGCGGAGGCTTTGCGCAGCTAACCCCAAGCTAGAACAGTGAGACGGAGCACTGCGCAGTGCTCCTTCTCCCTGTTCTGGCTTTGGGCTTAGCTGCGCAGCCTGCATTCACTCCATAGGGCGCACACAAATTTTCCCTTAATTTTTGTTTTTTTTATAAAAATATTTTTTATTAGCAAACCAATCAAATCACATTAGTTCCAAATTACAAAACCGAATTTTAAATTTTGGTTGGGGGTACCCATGCTTCGAGCTCAGAAAGGGATCCAATCATCTCTTATTTCTGCTGCTTTGATCATTTCCCCTTAATTTTTGGAGGGGGGAAATTGTGTCCTATAGAGCGAAAAATACGGTATTTATCTACTTCCACTTTGTGCTTTCGAACTGCTAGGTTGGCAGGTGCTGGGACCGAGCAGCGGGAGCTCAACCCGTCGCGGGGATTCGAACTGCCGACCTTCTGATCAGCAAGCCCTAGGCTCTGTGGCCACCCGTGTCCCTACGGAAAAAGCCTATCGCAGACCAAATCCCCCTCCCAAACCTGGTATGTAAGGGCTTCCGATTTTTCCGCCCTCTGTTGTGGATGTGCTTCACGGGTTCTCCGTGCCTAGCAGCTGTTAGAGGGTACTTTGGGGGGCTTCCGGGTTAGCGCGATCGGGTAATGGCGGATTCCCTCCGAGCTCCGGAGGGAATCGTCTCCATCGAGGACGGGTCCTGCCGCGGCGACGACGCGGGGACCCTTAGAAACCGCAGGCGCTGAAGCCTGCGGACTGGAGACTCAGCGGGCGCCTTCAAGCGCCCCCGACTCACGAGGAGCCTTTTTAAAGGCTGCGGAGAGGGTACGGGGGTGGCGTGGCACTGTGAGTCGACTGCTACCTCGGTGGAGTGAAGCCGCGAGCCATGACCGGAGAGCGCTGACTTCCTTCCTTGAAATTTGGACTTGAAAAGAAGCAACCCGTGAGTAAAACAGAATTTGGACTTAAGAAATTTACCTTTTTGAATTAGATACAACCGGGGGATGAATGAATGAATGAATAAATTTATTACGGTCATAGACCAGAAGAAAAGAAAAAAAAAAAACATAAAAGGCAACAGTAATTTACGAGGGAATGATGGTGTCAATTAAAAGTTGTAAAATTATACATAAAAACAATACACATATACACACACACCCACACACACACACATACATATACTCATATATGCACTACAGTATATGTATGGGCTTAAAAAAGGGGGGGGGCTTATCCAGGGGTCAGATCTTTTACTTTTTTACAACTAATGCCCTCCGCTTGATCGCGGCCGCAGAAAACTTAGCCACTTTCAGTGTTACTTCTGGGTTTTTATCTCCTAGTAGGATTTTCAGCCGCTGAGATTCAGATCGACCTGGAAATTTCTGAACGATAGGGGAGATAAACAGTAACCTGATATCCCCGTAAAGGTCGCAGTGTAACAACACATGTGAAGCCGTTTCCACCTCCTTCAGACCACATGGGCAAACTCGTTCAGCATAGGGTGTGCCCTCGTATCTTCCCTTTAGTAAGGCAGATGGCAATACATCAAATCTGGTAAGGGTAAACGCCCGCCTATATTTTGCGATTTGTAGATCCAGCAAATATGGGGTTAGATTAAACCCTTTTCCATAATCTTGGATAGCTGGATATTTATCTATCTTGCTCATATGGTCCTGAAGCTCTACATCTCCTATTCGCTGGCTCACCATCATTTTAGCCTTTTCAAAACCTGAGGCTATGAGTTCTTGTGGGGAAAGCCCCAGGCCCTTCAATTTTTCATAAAGCGACAATCTCCATTTAGACTGGAACGGGTCTAGTAGAATCAATGGAGCCACTCCCACTGGGAAAAATATGAGTTTTAGCCAGAAGTGAATCTTCAGGATCCATATCCTGGCATTAATAGGGAGTTGACCTACCTCCAGCCTAATGGCAGTGTTGGAGACACAGGTAGGTAACCCTAGTAGGGAACGATAAAATTTAGTTTGTACAGATTCCAGGGACTTGAGTTTTTGACAATTAAATATCTGGGTGCCATACATCAATTGTGGAAGTATTTTTGCAACAAAGACCTGGGAGGCAGCAGGAACATATTGACCTCCTTTTCTGTAAAAGAATCTTATGATAGCTCTGGAAGATCTTTGCGCATTTACAATGGAATTCTTAATCTGATGGCACCAAGATCCCTTCTCATCAAAAATTATTCCAAGATATCTAAAAGATGTTACTTGCTCAATAGGTTGGTTATTAATTTTCCATTTATGTCGGAGTTTTCTCTTGGAGAACACCATAATTTTTGATTTAGTGTAATTTATTATTAGGTGTTCAGCTTCGCAATACTCTGTAAGAGCTCGTAAAAGTTTTCTTAGACCCACACAAGAGAAGGAAATAAGTGCCGCATCATCTGCGTACAAAAGGACCGGGATTGGTGTATTATTTAGGTTTGGGGAATGAGTACTTGCTTCCTCCATCTTTCCAACTAAGGAGTTTATATAGAAGTTAAAAAGAATAGGGGCAAGAACACAGCCTTGCTTGACACCATGGAAACTTTGGATTTCCTTTGATAGGTTCCCGTAACGGTCGCATCTAACACGGATCCGAGTATTTTCATGTAGTCTACGGATAAGAAGCAAAAGACGTCTATCGATGTTTGTGACATTTAGTTTTTCCCAAAGTCTGTGCCGGGGTATCGAGTCGAAGGCTGATTTGAAATCTATAAAGGCTACATAGAGAGAGCCTCCTTTCTTTGAGGTGTATTTCTCCACTAGATGTTGCAATACCAATCCTTGGTCTAGAGTTGATCTATGTGCCCTGAAACCAGCCTGGGCTTCCTTTAGGATGTGCTCCTGTTCCAGCCAGTCCGCAAACTTTTCACGTAAGTGAGTTGCATAAAGTTTGCTGATGATGCTTAAGAGACTGATTGGTCTGTAATTGGCTGGATCAAGTTTACAGCCTTTCTTGAATATGGGAACGATGATTGCCAATCCCCAGTCCTCTGGTATTATTGCTGTTTGATCTATGCTGGTGAAAAGGGTGGCAAGGACTGGGGCCCACCAGTCAATATTGGCTTTGAGAAGTTCAGGAGAGATGTTATCTGCTCCCGGGGCTTTTCTGTGTTTGAGTGCCTGAATAAGCCTCCTAATCTCCGCGACCGACACCGGAGGCCACTCATCACCTGCCGCACACTGTATTAGTGGCTGTGTCAAAGGCAGAGCTGAATATGAAGATTGGAAAAATGCCTCCCAAGTCCCTGCAGGTATAGTATACTCCACTTCTGAGGAAGTAGATCGCACTCCATTTGCTACCAGTCTCCAGAAGGTGGCCGAATCTCTCTCTCTGGATGCATCTATTAGGCATTTCCATTCTCTTTTCTGTGCCAGGAGTTTTTTGTTTTTGATCAAAATTTTATAATTTCGTTTATCTTCAAACCAGCCCGTGGGGAGTTGGGGTAAATTGGCAGATCTATAATTCTTGTATTTTTTCAGTAAATTTAGCTTCATATCCTGACATTCTTGATCAAACCAGGGTTTGGAGTTTTTATATACTGAGGATTGCCTACTTGGCCTGTTCCTTTTTTCCTTCAGGGAATCTTGAAGGAGTAAAATTAACTCCTGAAATAAATTTATCTTTAATTCATGGCTTGAGGAAGTTATAAGGTTTTCTCTCTTAGTGAGGAATTCCTTTGAGCATAGCCTACTTGAAATTTCCTTATGCAGTTCATCTGTCCATCTGATGCGCGAATATCTGAGCTCCAAAGCTGTAGGGCTCGAATGCTCGATTTTTTCAGCGCAGGATAAATCCTTTCCCGCAGCTACGAGTGCAGTTAATGGCAGATGGTCACTGTCTAAGCGCTCCTCCACTTTGCATTCCAGAACTTGGTTTTGAAGATCATACGACACGATTATATAATCAATTGTGGAGGCGCCATTGTTAGATATAAATGTGAATTCTCCGACCTTCTCCCCCTCTGTACGGCCATTTAGTATAACCAAGTCCAACTTATTGACCAAGTGTAATAGGCATAAGCCGGCATAATTGCAGCCTTTATCCTTTGAGATTCTAGCTGGTATTGGGTGGGTTTCCTCTATAATGGGGACTGTTTCGTGGAAATGGGCACACAAAGCCTCATCAGATTGTCCAGTTCTGGCATTTAGGTCGCCTGCCACCACTACAGAGGCATCAGGAAATTGATTTAGTAGTTTGTCAAGATACTGTTCTAACTGAGCCCAAGTATTTCTTATCAATCTTTTCTCTCTTTGTGGGGGTAGGTATACATTAATCAGCAGCAAGCTGTGGGTTCTCCACTGTACTTGCACAGCTGTGGCCAGATGGTCTAGTGGGTCTAGTTTTTTAAATATGGCCCTTAGCCTTGTTGAGATTAAAGTAACTAACCCACCTTTAACTCGCCCCCCTCTAGTACTTAAAAGACCTGGGAGGGAGAACGCAGAAAAACCATTTAACTCCACTTCACTTGTGCTCCAGGTCTCCTGGAGAAACACAATGTCATGTCTCTGGATATATTTAGCAAAGGATTGGTCAGAAACCCTCTTTTGCCAACCTGCAATATTCCAAGTTAGCAAGGCAAGGTTGCACGTTGTCTTACCAAAAATTGATCTTAGTCAATTTGCCTTTGAAAGATTTTTTGGGCCTATCTTTTTATCTGTTGGTTGGATTTCATTCATTTTGGCAATGTCCATAGATGTATTATCGCCCAGGTACTCAATGGAATCAGTTGAAGGGTGCAGCGTGCTAACATTAGTGATCAGTACTCCTTTTTTTGGCGAATCTACCTTGAGGTGTTCTATTTGACTGATACCAAGTTCATCCTCATCCAGGTATCTCATGCTGGTCCAAGAGCGCGTTGTGGTTGTCGTAGGGATGGTTTCCTTCTTAGATGGTAGATTGTTGCTGTCCCTTACGCACTGTGTTAGATCTGTTGCTGTCAGGTTTATCTCTGCAGCTGCAGAGGTATTATAAGGGTAGTCTTTCGTGGTTGCCATAAGGATGGTTTCCTTCTTAGATGGTAGTTTATCCCTTGCGCACTGTGTTAGATCTGTTGTTAACAGGTTTATCTCCGCAATTGTAGAGGTATTATAAGAGTAATCTTTCATGGGGTCTGTCTTGGCTTTTTCAGAGAGGTTCTCTTTCTTTAATTGGTCCGTTGCCGGTTCTTTCTCTCTTACTTTTTCCTGAGCATTCATCTCTGTTAACTTATTTCTAAGGGTCTCCAATCTTCTCAAGATCTCAGACTGGGCAAGGAAAGGCAACAATCCAAACTGATTTATTAATGCCTTTTCTTCTGGATAGAAGTTATCCATCCCCTCATTAGGCAGTCTCATCTCCTGTCTTAGTTTCAAGGACCCTTGCTCAGTATGTTCCAGTTTGTCTTTTGAGTGTCCTCTCTCCTCCTTTGGTTTACAAGTAAATCTTATCTCAGCTGTCGTAAACTCATCAGGAAGCAATTTCAAACATGTGCTGTTTTCAAAAAATCTTGTTACCGTTATCCTTTTCTTTGACAGCAGATGTCTTGATCTATATATATATTTAGCCAAGTTTTGATCTTTGAAGGAGGCAATCACTCGCAGAGAGTATCCATTGTAGAATATGAAATCTACTGAGGTAATGTCATTTAATTTTATTTTCCCTGGCAGCATATCATCTAAAGTATTCACAAAATGCACCGAGCGTTCTTCCTGTGTAAGGAAGCCCTTTGGCTTCGGGTAGTTAAGAAAAGCTAACTTCCTATCTGCCAACATCAGTTTCCATCCTTTATCCTGGGGCAAGTCTTGCCCTGCTACTGGCTCATCTTGAGATCTGCCATAATCAATAGTATGGGGTGAGTCTTCTTTAATATTTATGGATCCTTGGGGTTTCAGCATAGAGCACCCGGGTAGTGATTCCGTTTCCTCACTTGTTTTGTTAGGCAGCAATGATGTTTCTTTCGAAGACTTCAGCTGGATCTTTTTTCCTGGATCCACACTGTTGTTCTCTCTGCTGCCATGTATAGCAGGTTTCCGGGCATCGGAACGATGCCCCGATGCCGGGCGGTGGGGCGGGAACCTCTCCCCCCGCCGCCCGGCATCGGAACGATGCCCCGATGCCGGGCGGTGGGGCGGGAACCTCTCCCCCCGCCGCCGGGCATCGGAACGATGCCCCGATGCCGGGCGGTGGGGCGGGAACCTCTCCCCCCGCCGCCCGGCATCGGAACGATGCCCCGATGCCGGGCGGTGGGGCGGGAACCTCTCACCCCGCCGTCGGGCATCGGAACGATGCCCCGATGCCGGGCGGTGGGGCGGGAACCTCTCCCCCCGCCGCCCGGCATCGGAACGATGCCCCGATGCCGGGCGGTGGGGCGGGAACCTCTCACCCCGCCGCCGGGCATCGGAACGATGCCCCGATGCCGGGCGGTGGGGCGGGAACCTCTCCCCCCGCCGCCCGGCATCGGAACGATGCCCCGATGCCGGGCGTGGGGCGGGAACCTCTCCCCCGCCGCCCGGCATCGGAACGATGCCCCGATGCCGGGCGGTGGGGCGGGAACCTCTCCCCCCGCCGCCCGGCATCGGAACGATGCCCCGATGCCGGGCGGTGGGGCGGGAACCTCTCCCCCCGCCGCCCGGCATCGGAACGATGCCCCGATGCCGGGCGGTGGGGCGGGAACCTCTCCCCCCGCCGCCCGGCATCGGAACGATGCCCCGATGCCGGGCGGTGGGGCGGGAACCTCTCCCCCCGCCGCCCGGCATCGGAACGATGCCCCGATGCCGGGCGGTGGGGCGGGAACCTCTCCCCCCGCCGCCCGGCATCGGAACGATGCCCCGATGCCGGGCGGTGGGGCGGGAACCTCTCCCCCCGCCGCCCGGCATCGGAACGATGCCCCGATGCCGGGCGGTGGGGCGGGAACCTCTCCCCCCGCCGCCCGGCATCGGAACGATGCCCCGATGCCGGGCGGTGGGGCGGGAACCTCGCACCCCGCCGCCGGGCATCGGAACGAGGTCCTGGACCTCTTCTGAAGGCAGGCGGGGGCAAAAGTCTTTGCTCCCCCCGCCTGCCTTCCCGGGACAGCGGAGACTTCTCCGCTGCCCCGGGCGATCTTAAAATGCTGGCGGGTGGGAGCGAAGCGTTCGCTGCCGACCCCCAGCATTTTAAAATCTCCTCGGGGCAGCGGAGACTTCGCTCCCGCCCGCCAGCATTTTAAAATCGCCCCGGGACAGCAGGGGCTTTTAAAATGCTGGCGGTCGGCAGCAAAGCCCTCCTGTCCCCGGAGCTTGCGGGGCGGGAGGTGGGAAGAAGGGCTTTTCTTCCCACCGCCAGCCTTCAGAACAGCCTTCTGAAGGCTGGCAGTGGGAAGAAAAGCCCTTGTCCCCCCCCCCCCAGCCTTCAGAAGAGGTCGGGAGACAGACTGTCCCCGGACCTGGTCTGAAGGCGGTTTCCCTAGGAACGCATTAATTGATTTTCAATGCATTCCTATGGGAAACCGTGCATCGCAAGACGAAAAACTCGCAAGACGAAGAGACTTGTTAGAGTTTGTTTTTGATTTTGTTGGAATCAGCTTATATAGTCTTTTCCAGCATACTTTGCATGCACGTCGGTTTGTAACAGATTTCCTTGCAGTTTTTATGTTCTTACTTTTCTTTTTAGTTTCAGCTTTCTTCTTATGGGATCTCTTACTGATGCCTCGCTTCTTTTGATTTACTTCGATAGGAAATTCTCCTCAAGTCTGACCGACAATAAGGAAAACGGGTGACAGCTGATTTATTGCCAACTCCGTGTTACGCTCTGAACTATAAGCTATCAAATTACAATTACAAACCGGGGGATGTGTTAAAAGGAAGTCCGCACCCTCTTCTATTACAGACGATTTAAAGCAAAAACCGAAGGTGGAATGATTGTTTTCCTCTTTGTGAGATAAAGGACATTAACTCCAAGATTGACATTAAAAGTTATACATTTTGAGTCGGAAAAAAGAATTTTTTGAAGTCTTTGTGTAGCCCCCCCGGACCCGGGAGCGTCCCGTGAATGAGAGCTGTTGGAGAGAAGCAGGGAGTTTGACAGCTGTCAAAGGGCTGTCAAACGAACCGTTAGAAAATTTGTTATAACTTGTATCTGCGGACTAATTTTGTTACATTTGAGTATAAGTTGGTGGAAACAAAGAAGGAATAAATAACAAAGTAAAAGACTGTTGGAGAAGGACTACTAAGTATCCAGAATCCCTCTAGGGGGAATTCTGAGACATTACAATGGCTGCAGATGGAAAATTACAGGCGGAGATTGAAAGGATGTTCTTTCTCGTGGGAATATTACAAGACCGGAGCACAGTTATGGCTACGAAACTATCGACCTTGAATCCTAAAATAAGCAATACTGCCGACTGTGTGGAGGACTTGTTGGAAAAAAATCCTGCAGCTGAATTGGAAGAGACATCTTTGGAACCAGAAGAGAGGGAAGAAGGAGTGGAAAAAATACAGGCAGAAAGTACCAACCAGAAATTTACATCTGTGGAATATAAAGAAGAAGATTTATGGATTATGAATTTGCTTGAGATGGGAGAGGGAGCCCCTGGAATATCTGAAATATTTGGACTCAAAAGAAACAAGAAATACGATTGGGGCCTCTCTCTTGGATGTGGAAAGCAGGTTGGAAGGTACCTCGATTTTATTGTGCCAGAGCTGCTTCGTGACCTGATGATCAACATAAATGACTACCAACAAACCCGGCGGAGAGAGATGGACAGAGACTTGAGGGCCTCGAATGTGAGAAATCCAGGCTAGAAATTGTCTTTTTGTGGACATTCCTTTTGGAAGGGGACTGAAACTGGGGAAGGGGGGGGTGAGGGCAGAATCTTAAAATTTTTTAATGATCTGTGTGTTTAGATAATAGAAATAACTTTGAATGAAAAAATGGGAAATCTGTGGGGGGGGGGAAAGGGGTCGACCTTAGAAAAAGGTAAAAGAATTAGAAGAAATTGGCATAAGATAAAAATGATTTAATCAAGAATGAAGTTAAGAAGAAGAAGAACAATAAGTTTGTAAGGATGAGAGATAAGGACTTGCTGAACCAACTTTTGGAATAGGGATGTAAGAGGGGGGGTGGGGGGAAGTCAGGGGAAGTAGTTAATGAGGCAAGGATATGAAATTTTACATGTTTTGTCTTTGTTTTTGTATGTTTGTTTTGTCTATAAAAATTTGGAAATTCAATAAAAATTTATTAAAAAGACATTGTCCGGCAGCGTCAAAAAAGGAACCCTTCGAAGCCCACGTCGTAACTAGGAGGTGAGTCGACAGAGAGTACCTAGACGCAAGGACATGAGCAATCCTCAGCAGCAAGCCTCAAAGTCCCAAACGGTAAGAATGGCAGCTAACAAGGAGAGCTTGAGGAGAAGAGGGTCTGTGAGACTTATTTATACAAACTGAACTGAACTGCTCAGAAACAGACCCGAAAGGCTAGCACATAAAGAGTAAAGAACGGGAGATTTTATCTTAAACATATTGGAAATCTTTCTCATGATATGTAACCATAAGCAAAGATTTCTCTAACAAGTACCAGTAAGAAAAGGAAGACAGATTCAAATTTCACTCTGCAGCAGCAGTAGTAGCCCATTAAAAGAAGCGGAATTCAAGGACTTAACTTGTTTTTTACTTTGAAGTGGTGTGAGCCCAGCGAAAGAGACTGAGTTAAAAGACTTGGATTGCCAGCGCTGTTTGTGGTAAAAGAGTGGAAGTTACTGGGAAACAAAGGTAAAAGAGAAGGCAACACTTTTAATATTGAACTTATATTAAACACTAACCTATAAAGATGGCAAAGATGGCGTAGTGTGGTCTAGGAGAAACAGCTGGACTAATTGGAGAATCAAGAAAAGAAAAGCGCCGAAAGGAGGGGCGGAACTGGACCAAAGAGGAGAGGGACTATAAAATTAAAGATGAGCATATTTAGTTTGAGGAGGTAGTTTGTGAGAAAGGAAATACGTTTTCTGGTGTAATGAAGAGACTTTCTTCATATAAAGTATAAGTAGGATTCCTAATTCCTTCTGCATTCTGTTTCTTTTACTATCCCTCAAGATTCAGAAACGTAGGGAACCATGTCATGGTTAAATTAGTTTATAAAGATTGGCTGCGTGAGCTGCTGGTCTCCTGCTGTCACGTGCCAAAGATCCATCCCCTGGTCTGTGAGGAGGAGGAGGAGGAAGAGATATTGGAAGAGAAATGGGAGGATGAAGTGATGGTTATGAAGATCAGAAGGAATCTTTAGTGAAGGTGAAAATAATTTATGTAAGACCAAGTGACCAGGGGATGGATGCCACTGATACCAATTTAGATGGGGAGTGTTGATCTTTGTTCATCAGGAACAGGGAGGCCAGAGAAAATCCCGCTCGCTGGGGAGCGGGGAGGCAGCTCCCTCATTCAAGAAGAATTCAGGGATGGGATGAGGACTTTGGGATGAGAAACTATTTGAGGATAGTTCAGACGAGAGGAGGAAGATTTTGAGGAAGCAAACATGTTTTTTAGCGCAACGAATTGACTTTCTTCATCTAAAGCGTAAGTAGAATGCCTAAATCACTGTGCTACATGAAAAGGAAGAGGTATCGAACTTTTTAAAATAAACTAAACAAAACTGCTTAACCCACTAAAATATATATTTTTAAAAATGAATATTAAAGGGAGCCATGTCCCTTGTAAAGACAGGTAGCTAAAGTGACGGTGTCATGTCCTCCATTGTGACACGTTCTCCGGCTGACTGACTTGGCTGACAACTTTGGGAAGAGCAACTATTTGAGGATAGTTCAAAGAAAATAGGTTGTTGGTGTGAATTGTGTTTTCTGAAAAATGAAAATTTATTCATCTCGTGTATACGTAGGATCTCTTATTCTTCCTGCATTTTGCTTCATTTGCTATCCCTCAAGATTCAGATATATAAGGAACCATATCATGGTTAGATTAATTTTTAAAGATTGACCTCAGGACCCTCTTAGATCCTTTGAGGGAAATGGCTTGCCTTCTCCCTTGCGGGCATCACCACAAGAAAGGGATCTCCCAGTTCTGGAGGGTCTCTTGACAAGATGCCCTCCTCTCTGGTTTCAGCTGCTTGCTGCAATCGCCATGAGAGGTTTCTGAAAGTAGGTTTATCTGCCAGATAAAGAGTATCAAGGAAGCATCTAGAACCCATTTCCTGACTATTTTCCCTCTTCTTCCCTAGATTCTGCAGTCTGAGAAGGCTGGGTGAGCTGCTGGTCTCCTGCTGTCGTGCCACAAAAATCCATCCCCTGGTCTGTGAGGAGGAGGACACAGTGAGTGTAATGAAGGATGGAAAGGAAAGAAGGGTAAAGGTGAGAACGATCTACGTAAGGCCAAGGGACCAGAGGATGGATACCACAGATGCTACTACCAATGGTGAGTGTTGATCTTTGTTCAGGAGGAACAGGGAGGCCAGAGAGAATCTGGATCACTGAGGGTGGGGGGAGGCAGCTCCCTCATTCAAGAAGAGTTCAGGGATGGGATGAGGAAGGGAGGAAGGGAGAATAACGCAAGCCACCTGGAGATCCTTGCAGGAAAGATGGGTCATCAATGTAGTAATTAATGAAAAAATTAAGAATCTTTTCTCTTCATTTCTCTTCAGGCAGTGATAGCAGTGAGGCCAGCAGCTCCTGTACAGCTCTACCCCGCTCCAAGACCCAGTTCTCCCTTCGCCCCAAACCCAAGTATCTAAATAAATAAATAATAGGGATGCGGGTGGCGCTGTGGGTTAAACCACAGAGCCTAGGACTTGCCTATCAGAAGGTCAGCGGTTCGAATCCCCACGACGGAGTGAACTCCTGTTGCTCGGTCCCTGCTCCTGCCAACCTAGCAGTTCGAAAGCACGTCAAAGGGCAAGTAGATAAATAGGTAATGCGGGAAGATAAAGGGCATTTCCGTGCGCTGCTCTGGTTCAGAAGCAGCTTAGTCATGCTGGCCACATGACCTGGAAGCTGTTCATGACCGGTCCGCCAATAAAGCGAGATGAGCGCTGCAACCCCAGAGTCGGCCACGACTGGACCTAATGGTCAGGAGTCCCTTTACCTTGATATATTTCAAAAACACTGAGTCTCCAGGGTGGTCTCTCGTCACAAGGAAACAGACTTTATAAAGAGGCAACCTTTCAAACTTCTTATAAATGGAAACTGGGGAAAGCCCCCTCCAAAAGAATAGACTGTGCCCAGTGACTAGCTGATCCACATGCCTGTTCAGTTGACGCTCTAGATGCCTACTCAGTTGTTCTCCAAGGCTGTTGAAAGAGAGAATGGCCAGTGTGGCAGGCTGTGCGAGCTGCTGGCCTCCTGCTGTCGTGCCCCTAAAATCCACCCCCTGGTCTCCGAGGAGGAGGAGGAAGAGATATTGGAAGAGAAACGGAATGAGGAAGTAAATATAATTAAAGAAAGGGAGAATAGCGTAAGCCACCTGGAGATCCTTGAAGGAAAGATGGGTTGTCAACATAATAATCAATGGAAAGATTAAAAATATTTTCTCTTCTTCTCTCTTCCGGGCAGTGACAGCAGTGAGGCCAGCAACTCCAGCACAGATCTCCCTCCCCACCAAGACCCAGTCCCCCCCTTCCCCACAAACCCAAATAGAAAAATAAAATAAAAATCATCATCATCATTATTATTCTAATCAAGTTCCTTTACAAACATGCTATTCTGTGATCATCCTTTTATCCTAGGCGGTGCTTTTTCCTACGTTTGTGAGCATGAGTGGAAATCCTGAGTCTCGCTGCAGGAGTTGACAGTTTGGCTCCTTCCCTTGTTGTTGCTCCTAGATGGAACTGCGCATGTGCGAAGACAAAACAGAGACTTCCAAACTGGATCAATAAACGTGTCACCCGTTGTCTGAAAACCACTGTCCTAATCACATGCCAGATTGTCTTTTGTGAATGAAATAAAATTCTTTCAAATAGTTTTTTAATGTTGGCATTTGTCTGTCTTGAGAAGCAATGGAGTGCGCCTCGGGGGGTGAGGTCAAAAGTCAAGCAACGGTGTCAGCAGTCCCAAAGTGACCTCTCCAGGGAGCAAGACTGGGCAGTGTGTCTGGAGGTCCTGGGCTTCCCAGATGACAAGACTCCCTCTCTTGGCTTTGCAGATGTGTCTCCAAGGAAAGCAGAGTTAGGCACCAGTTGGGCTGCAGGAGTTGTCAGAAGGGGTTGTAAACGGCGCCATCCAACCGCCTGAGGGACTCCACTCCAGATTTGTGTAGGCTTTACTCCTTAGCCTTTTCAGCTCCCAAAGATATCCCACAAGGCAAATTAGGATCAGAGTTTTCCTTCTCCTTGATGGGCTATCTTTATAGGTGAATGAGCCCCATCTGCCCCTCACTTCCCTCCACAGCATTGCAGAAACCACCTTCTTGACTACTGGGCCCACGCTTGGTCTTGTCCGCTCAATCTGTTGGAGCCCGTCTTTGCACACAGGGGAAGTTCCTGAGCATTTGAGACTCCTTGGCTGCCCTCACCTGGTTTAGGTGGCCAGTCAAACCGTTCCCAGGATGTGGCCTCTGTCACACGCTGACCGTTTCTAGGAGCAAGAGAACAAACTTTTTATTAAAGAACGGAAATGGTTTAATGAATAGTTACAAACTGTAAACAGATAAGAACATTGGCAGGATTATTGGAATAACCTGCAGTTTAATAAGATTATATATTTAAAGCAGATGCATAAATGAAGAAATTGAGGTAATTTGGATATGCATAAGATATGAAGAATCAATTTAAGGAACTGCAGAAAGAGGGGGAAGGAAGTCAAGTTTTGAAATGTTAAAATGACTGCAAAATTATTGAAATGTATAAACTTGAAAATCATAATTTTTTTAAAAAAAATATTTCGCCAAAAATCAGACATCATCCGTTTCACTCCCAACTGGAGCCAAAGGACACAGGCCTGGCCAGGACAGCGTTCCAGTTATAGCTTCTGGGCTGTGGGTCCTTGCCTTCCGTCCCTCCCAACTGACAGTTGTTAGTTCTGGAATCCTGAGCTTGAGGGGGGGTACATCCCATTTCGCCCCGTGGGACACTCACCACCCCTTAGCCACCTGCCTTTGGCGCTGCAGCAGTGATGGCTTTGGTCCCTGAAAGAGCATGCAAGATCTCTCCCAAATCTCAATGCATATTTTGCTCTCCTAGACATCTTGCAAGACTTCAATGAGATCTCACAAGATCTTGCAGAAAATCTCCAATCTGTTTACCTGCAAGCACACACCTTTATTTTTATTTTCTTATTTAGTACAAATTTCTCAATCTAACAGATTTGCACATAGGATTCTGTATCACATGAAACGGCACATTTGTTTTGTTCTATTGTTACTTTATTTGTGGCCTTCTAACACTTTGGGAGAAGCCATCTCTCCCTTTTCCCTTAAAAAATGAGGATCTATGCTTTACACTCAGCAGGAAGGCCCATTTAAAAGGAAACATGTAGTTGTTTTGCTGCTGCTTTTTTGTGTTCTCAGGTGTCCAAGTTAGCCTCCTGGCCCTGCTCCTCCACTATACCACAGCAACATCCCCCACTAGGAATCCCTACTTGGGCTTTCATTGGCCATCAGCAATATCCGGTGGAGCCAGGTGGAGAGAAATGCCCCATCTTGCCCATCTTTGGGGTTTCAAGAGGTATAGCCTCTGTGCATGTACAGAATTCATGATTCAGCAAATCTATTAGACCACTGAAAGAGTTATTTCCTCTGATTAAATTACCAAAGGAAGAAAGCAGGATTGGCTTTTCTCCCCAGGGACACAGGGAAGGGGAAGGTGTATGTTTAAGAAATCAAATTCCCCAAGGGCTGAAACTCTGTTCAGCCAGTTAAAAAACCCAAATTCTCTCCGTAGAGTGCTTCACATCTGGCGGGCAGGGCTTGTGTGCTTTGCTCACGATCCCTTGGATGTCCTGAGGCTGATAGAGCAGCAGCCGTAAGTCTTGGGGCTCTGGGAGTGAGACATTGTCCTCAGAAGGCAAAGAGTAACTGAGGTTCCCTTTTCTCTCCCTTGGAGGCCCTGCCCAGGAGCTGGCCAGTTCAGGGCCTCCATGGGAGAGAAAAGGGGGGCCAGCACTTGTGCTCAAATGAGCTTTCATACGCGGTCATCCTGCCCCACACTCACATTCCAAAATATCTGCATGCTCACCTATCCAAGAGGTGGTTGGTCTTGGGCTGGGGGGTCCCAGAAGGCAGAATAAGTTGAGAAGCAAAGCCCAAGAAGTTTGAGGCATCCTCTTCGCATCCACCCAAACCCAATCTAAACAGCTTTGCTCCAGAACCAGCCCCTCCCTTCAGTTCTGTTCAGTTCAGAATGTCAGTTAAGAGGGACCACCTGTATTTTCTTGATTCTTGCCTGAGGTCATAATGGGCATGCACACTGGTATCTGTTTACCTGTAAGCACACACCTTTAGTTTATTTTTAAAAAATAAAAATAAAATAATAGTTTCTCAATCTACCAGCTTTGTACAAAACAGCAGCTGTTTTGTGATCCATGGCAGTGAAAACCCCACGTTTTATGGCGCCCCCCCCCAAATGAGGCTTCAGTGCCCTAACCCACAGGGTCACGATTTCTCCAAAGGTCCAATGTCATCTGATTCACTCCAAAGCAGCACCAAACACCCAGAGAATGCCCCCTGCAACATTGGGGGGGGGCCTTTGAAAACACTACACTTCCCATTGTTAGAGTGGCATACGAAGGATGAACAAGTTAAATCAGTGATGATAGATTGGGCAAGACATGTAGGACATAACATAATGTTTGAGGATTGGGAAAGATTGTGGAAGAAAGGGGTCAAGTTCACTGCATGTACTGTACTAAAGGAAAACATAATGAAAATGATGTATAGATGGTATCCGACCCCAGTTAAATTAGCAAAGATTTATCATAACTGTGATAACCATTGCTGGAAATGTAAAGAAAATGAAGGTACTTTCTATCATATGTGGTGGACCTGCCCCAAGGTGAAAGACTTCTGGGAAAAGATTTATAATGAATTGAAAAAAATGTTGAAATATACATTATAAAGAAACCAGAGGCCTTTCTTCTTGGAATAACAGGTTTGGAATTGCCCCCAAAAGATGTTAAATTATACACTGGGCAACAATTTTTTACCTTTTGAATGTTGTCTAGATTTCTACAATTGATTTAGGGTCTTTTTGCACTGCTGAATCAGGAAATGGCATCTGTTTCTCTCCATCAGGTCAGGTTGTTGTGCTATGTTGATTTGTAAAAAATCAGATCTTGTGACAAAATTGATTACATTTTGTGGCATTATCAGCTGATTTTTGTCAACACATATCATCCTAAATATGTTTTTAAGAGAAAATAATGTTTTTCCAAGAACATATATTGATTACCTGATAGAAACATCGATTACTGTAAACTGAATGGTGGGCATTGATAAAGGTAAGTACACATAAATTGCATGTTGCTTCACCATTTTTCAAACTTCAGGGCTTGAACTTCCATTTCTTGGAACTCCTGGAATGCTCAGCGGCAGGGAGGTCTCTCTTCAGAGTCCAACAGTAGTCAGCCATCATGACTGCGTCCCAGCGACCCTGATACCTGGTCTCCATCTCTTTCATGTCCTGATGGAATCTCTCCCCCTGCTCGTCACTCATTGAACCCAGGTTCTCAGGAAACCGGTCCATATGTGAAAATGGGTAGTGCATCTTGACGCTCATGTTGCAGCCCAGGTTTCTGAAAGCAGTCAGCATGTTGTTGACAAGTTCTGCATAGTTTCTGACCTTATTGTTGCTTAGAAAGTTCTTCACTACCAGAACAAATGCCTTCC